TCAACATTGTAAGGTTTTCAGATCGTTGGATTGGTCACGAGGCCTCCAAGATCTCCAGGCCTCAGTATATTGGACTATTGTGTGTAAGGCTGGTTCATAGATTTTTATTTTTTATTCATATTTATGAATGTATTCAAAAATAAAAATACAGCCAGGAAATGTGAAAGAATGAATATGATGAGAAGAAAACACTTGTTGTGTAGTTTACGCTCTGATAGCACTCTAATAATATGTCTGCATTGGGAGATCACAGGGCCATCTTCTTTTCAGGCACCTCGGAGGGTTATAAGGAATCGAAGAGGAAGGAAAGTTAGAAAAGAGAAGAAGCATTGAGGATTTTATGAAGGATTGGATACGAGAGGAATTCGATGGTTTAATGGAGCCACATAGCTCAACTCCGTAATTTCAAATAGGCCTTATTAACATAAAATTATTTTGTAATTAATTGAAAGCTCAGAGTGTTTGTCTAGTAAGTGTTGAAGTAGCTCGAAAAGTCAAGTGGTGCTTATCACTTCAGTCTGGTATGAGGATTCCAAATTAGACATTTTTCCAGAAAGTCCTAAGTGTCGGTTTGTTTAACAGGGATAAGTGGGGTATTGTTAAAAGATACTGTTGGGCATGAAGTCATAGGTTTAGGAGGAAGAGTAAAGGTGATTGGGTGAGCTTCATTAGTTTTGACAATATTCTTTAAGGCTAGTGTTATGTGATTGAAGAGTTAGAGCAATTGATGGGTCCTTAATAACTCTTAGAACATATGTCATCGGCAAACTGTGTAAAGGATAGGACCAACGATACTACTTTGAGGAACACCAGCAGACTTGGAAAAGAGGATTGATTAGGCATTCTTGTCATTTACTAGGAAGTATTTATCAGTAAGATAGGAACAGTTGATGAAGTATGTAGGATGTAGAAATGTACGGAGTTTGTAAAGCAGCCCTGGGTGCTAGGCTCGATGGAAAGCCTGTTCTGTTGAGAAAGACTCCCGTGTAGTACATTATGTGTTCCAATACAGAGGAGACAACGTCCACCATATGATGACATTGCTGCATAATGGAATGGTATGTTTGCTATCCAAATTGGTGATCTGGGATTATGTTATTAGAATCTAGGATGAGGAACAAGCGTTTTAAGATAAATTTTTCCAGGATTTTGCCCAAGGGTAACAGAGAGATAAGACGATAAGAGAATGGGAATTTTGGTGGCTTTTTGGATTTATGTATCATTTTGACAATAGATATTTTCCAAGGTGGTTCAAAGATGAAGTATACAAAGTAAAAGTAGACACTCGGGATGAACTAACTCAACGTATTGGAACTGCTTCAGGCCTCATTAAAGAAAGATACGAAATCGGGAGGACAACTATCGCCCTTCGAAGACGAACCGAAAATGATAAGTAGTCAATGGTGGTATTTTCGAACATTTATTAAAATAAGGCTCAATGCTAATACAGGTATGAAATATTGTTTATTTGTGGAATTTTGTTTACTTTTAATTAGCCAATAAGATTTAAACTAATGAAAATTGGTTAAAACATAAGTTGTTATTTCCTACAGTTTGGCCCATTCCTCCCAACTGATCCTGTTTAATTAAATTTATTGTGATAATAGATCTCTTATAATTTAAAATATTAAATTATTATTGTTCTCTTGTTTTTTATGTTTTTTCATGAGTTACCTCTTAAAATTATGTTGTTATGAACCTGGTCAATTCTATGAAGTTTTCTATTTTTTTTGTAGGTATAATTGTTTTTTGTTTTTTTTTACTTTTCCTGTTATTACTTTTAGACATCCTAAAAATAATTTAGAAAAAACTAAATTTATTTTTAACTCATAGATAACATTTTTTACTTCTGCTTACCTATGTTTTTATTATAGTCGGTGTTCTGCATTGGTCTGCTGTAAAAGAAATTTCTTTTTATGTTTGTAAAAATAAAATTTGAACAAATCGAGAAACAAATATAAATTGTTTTAAGTATTATAGCTAAGTGTTTAACATATTTTTACTTCAAGAATAGAAATATGACTAGAAAGCATACATTTCAGAAGCCTTCTTTTGTTGAAGCATCACACTCTGATTGGTCAAAAAAGAAGCTATCATTTAAAAAAATAGAAAACACTGTGTTTCCTGCACTTGAAAGAATCAATAATAATAAAAAATAAAGCTAAGAAAATTAAAACATATTGTGACGTTTGTCGATAAAATTAGCATTATTGCTTAAAACGCAGGACCAATGAGGTATCCTGCTATAGAAATAACAACAGAAACAAGACCTGCTGTGCTAGAGGAAAATGGAATAAGGTTACTAGCCCTATGCCCAATCCAAAACCTTCAGGACTAGGAGCTATGGTGTAAATCAAACCTGGGTTAACCGGTTAATAAAATATAAATTTATTGTTAATAGAAGAAGTATGTGAAGTTTCAAACTTCAAACTGGTTTATGGCGGAGAGATGGACTCTCACTGATGTTTAACTTAGCGTTGGAGAAGGAGATAAGAATATCAGGTGAAAATGGAATTAATTGTAAAATCCTCAGATATGGAGATATACAGCTGTCCTTGGGAGAAGCCAAGAGGACAATGAATAACTCGCTAAGACTCTGATAAGAAAAACAGTGCAAATCGGTCTACAAGTAAATGAAGATAAAATAAAATAGACGAAAAACTGAAAATTCTATTCCAGTAGCAGAATCTAGGTAGAAGAGAAATCGTTTCCAAGAATAAACAAATTCAAATACCTCGACTTGAACGGTCAAGGTATGATCTATGATCGGAAGTAGACCAGAATACAACAAGCACAAGCAGTATTCTTCTCTCTTTCAAAGCTATTACTAAAGGAAGGAGATGGGCCGGGGTGGCGGTCATAAATAGGCTAAATAGTGGTAAAACTATTTTATTTTAAGCCAACGTTTTGACCAGACTTTGCAGGTCTTTTTCAGGGAGGTGTGTTTAGCTAGCAGTTTTCACTTAGAACTGAGTTCTAATTGAATTCCTAAGTGAAACTCCTAACTGAACACACCTCCCTGAAGAAGACCTGCAAAGTTGGGTCGAAACGTCGGATTTTAATAAAAATAGTTTTACCACTAATTAGCCTTCTTATGACCGCCACCCCGGACCATCTCCTTCCTTTAGAATGCAACGGTCAACTATTAAATATTCAATAAGGGTGCTTACTTATTTATCCGGTGCTACAGTCCAACATGAACCTTGCCCTCCCTCATGGTTAAGGTGTGAACTTTGCTATAACAAAGCTAGTTCTGATAAATGACTGTAAGACGTGGACAGTAAGACACAAAAGAATACTAACGAATGGAGAAAGATCAATAAAGAGCTGCTTATAGAAACTGATCGATCAATAAATCATTATATAAAGGCAAGGAGGTTAAGATGAGCATGGCTTGCAGCTTGGAGTAATCCATCAGGAAGCCTCAACACAGCAATGAATGCCCCAATAGTAGGCAACAAGCCAAAGACCAAAACAAGATGAATAGATTGAATCAACGAAGATGCAGTACAGCTGTTTGTAAATAGTATATAAATAACTGGAAAGAAATAGCCCAAGATTGGCAGAGATGAAGAAGGCAACTAAAGATCTGTAAGGCCTCAAAAAAAAAAAGTTTGAATAACGTTTATTCACCTTAAGAGAGTTTGTTTTAATAACAATTGTGTGTTTGCTTGATACGTCTGACCAGGAATGTATTCGCAAAATATCATTATATCAATGAACAAAGCCTCACTAGATTTACTTTTAAGTGAGAAACGGGAAATTAACATTAAATATAATAAAATTACATTAAAAATTTTTGAAATAAATATTTATTTATTTAAAATAAGTCAGGTCTCATATCAAAAAATAACATTAACTTAAACAGTTATTATTTTACTAAATGACTTTATATAAATTATTAATTCTAATGGTTGAGATAAAAATAAAAATTTTAAGTAAATATTTAAGTACAAATCATAACAAAATAATTCAATAAGCAAGTGATGAAATTTAAACAAACAAACAAATTACATTAAGTTAAACAAGTAAAATACACGTTACAACATAAATATAGATCTTAAAATTAAAGCTCCAATAAGACGTTTAACTTACATAACAAATAAAAACAATTATAGAGATCAACATTACTAGTTATTGTTTCAATTAAATAATTAATGGTGTATTAAGTGATAATTAATTAATTATTAATCAGGAAAAAAGAGGAAAATTATTAATACTGATAACTAGTCACAGATAGAAATGAGATTTGTCGAATAATAAATGTAAGTATACATCAATCCACTTTACTTACCATAAATGAGTTAGTAACAGCAATGTGCGACTAAAAATAGTTAACAATGACTAATTCAGTATACAATATCTCGTATTGAAATGGAACTTTTAAAACAGAAAATAATTCTTAAAATAATTAATAATAAATAAAAAAAAAGTATCACTATGTCTTTGGAAGAAAATTATTTCTATAAAACCGACGATTCAAATTTCTTTAGATATCCTTTCCGCATTTGCCTAATACCTACTTCCGTTACCCTGTATATTCATTTCAAACCACAAGGCCCATATTCGAAAAATGAAACCAAAAATTCCATATAATTTATCTATTTATAGCAAAAAGACAAAATGCACCGAATCACTGTACAAAATGAAACATTTTAAAAACAATAAAAATGCTAAGTCCTTTAAATAAGTTTTAAAAGAATTATAGCTCAGATTTCTACTTGATAAAATATGCTTCATACCAAAATTACACAAATAAATATTGCTTTATGGAAATCATTAAAAAGGTTAATAAGATGAATATTTATCAATAAGTACTAATCAGCAGAAGGTGTTTAAAGAGCAGTATCCGAACGGTTAACGTTGATAATTAAAATAAACATGCCTTGTTCGAAATAATAAGGCACATTTAGCAAACAAACTGTACAGAGAAATCTCTGCAATAAGTCATTCTCTATTCTCTCGTTTGATTCCTTTCTTGAAGAGAATGCCAACACCTTTCAGACCATGTTATCAGGGTCGTCCGTCGACTCGTCAGGATCCAAGAGTGGTTTACTTTCCTTCTTCTTCGGCCTTTTCTTATGCCTGTTGGTTATACCATCATCTGAGTCCATCATACGGAGAATGATACCTTGATCGGAAGAATCCATCGGAGCCACTGAAATGTCTCGAACTGCTCGAAACTTTCCACAATTGTTCAAATGTTCATTTTCAAGGCGAAAAAAATTCCAAACAAACCTCCTAAAACAATAACAATAAATTAAATTTCCTAAAAATTAAAAAATGTAATATAAATAATGATAAATTGGGTTCACACATTGGCATTACTGGCAATGAACGAGCCGATGAGGGAGTAAAGGAAATTGCTAGAACCACTGATTCACCTATTTTAGGATCGACATCTCTCAATGAGTAGACAAGAGAAATTACAAAAAAAGTGAAAGATAATTGGAACACCCAGTGGAGATTACTGCCGCTCAATCACCTTTATAGGTATCACAAGATAGGTATTTTCATATATTTGTCAAAGTGTAAACGATGATACTTCATGTGAAAGATTGGTTCATATGTGTTCAATACATATTATCAATATTTGAAAAATCAGAAAGTTAAAATAAAAAAAATATATCAATTTAAAAAACTTACAACAAAAATTGGAAACCCCATCAATCCTAAAGGAATATACTTGTACATTGTAGTAGATGGCCTCTAGTATTTACTCCTTTATGTGACATTGAGTGAGGGAATGAGAAAGATGTAAGCTTGCACTATGAATTGTACTCAATTATGTAATGGACAAGTTGTTTATTGAAAAGTATCAAATCGATAAACAATCGAGGAAAATGGTACAGAATAAAAATAGGAAGAAGCCTGGAAAAGTGACGGTAGGTGGCAGCAGCAGGAGAAGGACGCGGGAGAACAAAGAAGAACTCATTTGAAGCCAGGACAGGAAGAAGGAAGGAGGTTACCAGAGGAGAGAACCCCAATCCACTGAATAATAAGATCAATTCATTCATTCCAGTATAAAAAAATAAATTATTTTGTTATACAGGAATGAATAGTCCTTTTATTTAGTTGTCCTATATGCCTCACAATCGAAGAATAACAAACTAGGTGAGTCAATTCATTCAAAGTGTATTTACCAAGTCCCACATTTCATATTTACATATTCTTATTATTTCTTGTCGCTCAGCGTCACAAAAGGTATTAGGTTCCCAAATTCTCAACAACAGTAAACACATTCAAAAAAGTTTATATCCAGTGCCAAGGTTTCGTTTTAAGAAAATTAAATTCACAAGTGTAAATAACCTTGATCCCCGACAAAACGGAACGTTATTTATAACATCTACTTAAACTCCTTGGTAAATTGACATTTACGAATACTTAAACTTAGTGTAGTCAGAAGATACCTTTCGCTACACATTACGGCTCCTGAGAAGTAGATTTCATCCCATGTATTGGAGCATGTCAACATCCGAACGAGTCGAGTTCCGTTCAGGGGTAGAAGATACCTGACTACTACGAGTTTAAATATTCGTAGATGCCAATTTTCCAAACAATCTATGAAGTTGTTTAAGTAGATATGCAGGCACAATACTTAAGGATGGACAGGATTTTTTATTTCTGATTGGTAGTTGGTTTTTTTTTTATTGCCATACCATATTTGGTACAATGTGTAAATAACAGTTATAAAATTATAATATTTCAAAACGATACCTGAAGACTTCAAGCGGTGAAAGAATGGAAACCATCAATTCACCGTGAATGTAGCCCATCTCTGTGAGAGATATCGAGAGGACCCAACCGAACCTCAACGCCAAGTCTTCAACTATAGCAAAGTAGTAATACATCTGGAAAACGAAACCAATACTTAAAGAAACAAAATATTTGAAGCAAAAGGATGAATACTTAGAGTAAGAGTATTTACTGACATTTGAAGAGTAGACCACTTCTTCCCTCAAAAACTTGTTCTCTCCTTCTTTTCTATCGAACAAGCCCCAATCCATTTTGATATCCCAAGTATAAGCGTAGCAAGTACTAATTATTGAAGCGAATATCCAAAGGTAGAAGTATGGGTTTTCAGAAATGTTAGAACTTTCTAACAAAAACAAAACATCATAATTAGCTTTTTTTTAATGTGTAGATTGATTTAATGTTAAATTAATTTAATACAAAAAGGGAAGCTGTAAAGGACAATATATTGAAAAATTCCTCCTACTTCTCTATCTTTTAGGGCTTAAAAATGTTTATAAATAAAAAGGTTTTATTACAATAAAAAATCAATTAATTAATGGTGTGAAGATGGTCGACCGTGATTATAATTTGAAGAGTTGATCGGGGATGTGGTCAGTACACTATAATCAGTATACAGTATTTTATTGGATATAACGACAATTGAATCTACGTTTTAGGTCTTCATCAGGGCGTTGTAGGTCTTCATCAGGGGTTGTAGGTCTCCTCCAAACCCCATTTCAAGTGCCCTCAGGTCGGTTTCCACACCTATCTACAAGCACAATCTTGGTCTTTCTCTCTTTATGTTTCCTTCTGGATACCCCACCATAATCATCTTGGTGAACAGAACTACATATGTGTTGTTACTTTTTTTCCAAATAAAGAAACTATATATAATAGTAATACATTCTAATAAATATAAAAGTGATTATTTATAGCAAACTTAGTTAAAAAGCAGTTACATTAAAAATAGTAATTTTTTGTGGCGGGCTGTCACCATCTACCACTGCCGGAAGCAGTTGGGTGACATCACTTATGTTATCTTATAACTTCTTCAATTTCGTCATCTGCCCTGATGAAGACCGACAACTTAAGTGGAAATGTCGGCAAATCTAATAAAATACTATTATAATGCATAGTATTCTATATTGACTGCATACCCGACCAACTCTTTCTCAATTAATTAAATTTTATAACTGCAAAAAAACAACAAAAATGTGAAGTAGATAAATAATTTTGATTGATAATGCGATATTTTAGTGATAAATAAGTTATAAAATAGCACTAAATTGTTAAATCTACATAAATTACTATGTTTTTAATTACTTGATATTTTATATTTATAAGAGTATGCTGTGTATACAGCAACCCAATATAATTGGGCAGCAATCCTTTATATTTTATATTTTATGAAAATAAAATGTTTCTCTCTCTTTAAAAGTGGTTTTAGTTTAAAGTTTTTTCTAAGAGTGACCATTGCCCATTGACAAGGTAAAATGGACAAAAAAAATTTTAAATTGTTTTTCATAAAAAATATAAATTGTGATATTTCAAAAGCAGATAATTGTTTATGATGATATTTCATTTCATTTATTTATAACATACATATTTATGAAAAGATAAATTTGCTATGTACAATAATAATGAGCAAATATGATATTAAGGAATACATATACATGATATCATAAAGAACAGAACAAAACAAAACAAAAAGAAAAAAAAAATAAATAACACAATAACAAAGAAGTATAATGTAAACATAATAAGACAGCAAACAGCTCAATGCAGTAAGTATTTTGGCCAGCATCTCAGCAGTCTTCTGAATGGATTTTTAGCAGTCGATAAGAGCTTGAGTAAGTGGGTTTGAATTGTCATGAAAATTATTAAAACGGTCTGTAGCAGTTGCTGTGATAAAAGGAATGCCAAGGTCAGTGCATAACGTAAGATTAGAAACATAAAAGGGGGTTCTACAATTTTCTGGAGAACTTTTTACTGGAACGATTGGATTCTTTTTAAATTTGATATCTTAGCTAATTCCCATAACTCGATTCTGTATGTCCAAAGTGGTTTAATAAGGACTTTGTAAATAATTAATTTATTAATCACTGATAATTTAGAACATCTGTCAAGTAGCCAAGAAAGAAGTCCGTATCGCTGATTAAGTTATTTTATTTTTTGTTTTATGTGGTGCGCCAATATCAGTCGTTTGTCCAAGTAGAGTCCCAAATACAACATTGTATTTGAATTCGGTATCACAATGTTGTTAAAAAATACTTGAGGATAAGAGTCACACCGAATTGTAAATGAAACGATTTGGCTCTTAGACTAGTTCATTTCTACTTTCCATTTTTTAGCCCAACAAGCTATGTTGTCTAGGTATTGCTATAACACCTGAGAAGCCTTAGCTGCATCTTTATTGGATGTTAGTATTGCCGAGTCATTGGCAACTGTAGCCAACAGAGTTTCTGAGTGTTGTAGGATATCTGAACAATAACTATTGAAAAGTGTAGGACCCAAGACACTAACTTGAGGTACTCCAGCTTTTATTTCCTTGATAGAAGAAAACTCAGTCCCCATTTTCACTTGAAAAAACCTATCTTTTAAGTATGACAGTAAAATTGAGTAACATGTCGGTGGAATGATGATATTTCAAAAGAATAAAATTGAATTATTGTACAAAAGTTATATTTTAAGCAAATATAAAGTCGGTTTACAGCAAAAAGTCACTAAGAGCATTTTTGATATAGATTAACTTTCAAATATATTTTGTGAATTTCGATGTGATTTATCTATAAAAAAAACAAAAAAAAAAACAACACTGAATGCATGAAAACAAACAAACCTTTTTATTTAGTTACACTATCTGCAAAATTTAATGATTTCATAAAGGGAAAATTCATCAAAGTACATAAAATTTTATAGTTATGAAACGTGATGACTTTTTGCAGTAAACTGACGATATGTAAAACATTTTTCGGAAATGCTGTGGATGGTTAAATGCTGAAACGCCTATGTAAATTAAAATTACAATATAAATAAAAATTGTGGGACAGAAGGTCAAAGAACTGTTAGTTTATCTATTACCATAATTAGCATCGACATGGAACAAAAATGTTTTTAGATACTCACTGTTAGTTGCCTGATATAAGTGAGAAAAAGTTAAAACAAAAAATGATGTAGCGTATTTGGCAGCGTTAGCTAAATGAGGGAAGCCCTCTTTTGTATCTCTGTAACGCCTCAAACATTGTGCGAATCGAAACCAGGCTGGCATACAGGCAACGAAGAACCTCACGTACTGCCAGTTAGACAGCAAGCACACCTGAGAATCTGAAAAATAAGTAAATAAGATGTATATATATATATATATATATATATATTGTTGAATACTGAATTTGGAAGGATAAAAAATGAGAAAGGTGTGGAAGAGAACGAGTGGGGTAATAGTAATTTAACAGAAAATATTTCATATGAAATAGCCGGTAATAACAGTTATCATACCCTCTCTCTTCCACTTCTCTCATCCAAAACGGTAGCACAATTTCAGTAAGTGCTCAGTTCTTGGCCAGCCTTCTAACAAATGGTAATAGTTCAGTAACTATTGATATTTGTTAATGTCGATTTTTATATGTTTTAAACATTATACTTGATCATTTCACAATATACATAAAATAAATTCACAGATACGATAAAACACTTATTGACAAAACAGTGTGACCTTAACGGTGATAAGGCACTGACCACTGCTAAAACCAACATTTTTCTGCTAAAAGAACCTTTTTCTTAAAATGTCAGCTAACTTAGAACTAGAGGTTGACTGAATGATTCTATTACTGACTCACTCTGTACTCATATGACCCCACTGACAGACTCTTGTGCTAGCGATATCGACTTTAATTTAACTCTTCCTTTATATACTCAAAGACCATAGATCATGCCTCAATCTTTTTAGATTGCTTGAGAATGAACTCTATTCAGTCCCATCAAGATTTTTTTAATACTCGCTACTTTTATAATTTTTATAACCAAAACCGTCATATTATTAAATAAAAAAAAAAAAAATAATAAAAATGTATGTATATATATCTATTTTACTAATATTAACTAATACTTCTGTATATTTATATATAAGTTCATATATTGTCCTAAGGATAGAAGAGTATGCTGTGTATATAGCAACCCAATATAATTGGGCAGCAATCCTTTTAAGAATTTATTTTATATTTTATGAAAATAAAGTGTTTCTCTCTTCTCTAATGTAATAAAATTTTAATAAAATATGATCATTTTCAGACTATTTTATAATTTTAAATGATTTTATCCAATTTCTTGAAGGAAGTTAGTCGACTGTTCTACATATTATGGGTGATAAATATTCAGGACGCAGTCTTTTTTAAAATTTTTTTTATTTTTGCCAACGTTTCAACCCAAACATGTGGGTCATCTTCAGTGCTCAAACCACGCCCTGAAGATGACCCACATGTTTGGGTTGAAACGTTGGCAAAAATAAAATTTTTTTTAAAAAAGACGGAATCCTGAATATTTATCACGCATGATTTTATCCAATGTTTTATGTTAGATATAATTCATTTATTTTTTTTTTTTTGCTTTTATGTAACTTTTTATAAAATGTTGTATTTAAGTTATAAAGTAGCAAGTAATAGTTTTGAAAGTATTTATTAAATGAACTAAAATTGATAAATCCATATAAGTTATTGTAATGTTTATAATATTTTGATATTTTATAGAATTTTAATGTTGGTTTTATTTTAAATTAAATAAAATTATTTTTTTTTAAAGAGTAACCATTAGTATATTGATAAAATAAAATGGACTATACAAATAAAATTGTTGTTTTGTATAAAAATATGAATTGTGATATTTGAAAAGTATTGGATTGTCTGGAAAATAATGCAAGATTTTGGTTTACAAAAAAAAAAAAAAAAAATTTACAACTGTTTTGTTTAATCAAAATAGTCTCCACTAGTATCAATACATTTCTGACAACGTGTTGGCTACTTTTCCATTACCTCGGAATTGAATTCCCTATTTTCGGAATTGATAAACTCCCAAAATTCATTTTTTAATTCCCTTTATCTATTAATTTTTTTGTCACGTAAGTAGTGGTCCAGGTGTCTAACAAAATGATAATCCAATAGGCGAGAGGTCTGGAGAGTAGGGTGGATGTGGCAGAGTTTCATATCCAGGCTCCACCAGTTTTTGTGATGTCACACATGAGACATGTGGTCGGGCAACAAAATGGGCCCCTTTCGATTGACCAAAGATGGATTCATTATTGCCAATTTCTAATGCATTGCTTTAATTTAGTTACAATACGATTCGACATTGATGGTTTCTCCAGGATGAATGAAGCCCACCAAATAGTAACCATAATCTTTTTTTGATGAGTTGGGGGCTTTGGAAAATCATCTGCTGCTTCTCCTTTGTCTACTGTTATCGTTAAGTATCCACTTTTCATCACATGTAACAATTCTGGACAGAAAAGAGTCATTTTTGGTTCGACAATGAAGTGTAGTACAAACTTCATAACATTTATTTGGCGTCGTGTGGAACCCAACTTTCAAGCTTTTTTACCTTTCCAATCGTCTTCAGGTGGTCATCGACGGTCAATATGCTAAGGTTAAGTTTTCCTACAAATTCTCAAGACAGTTGTGAGGTTTTCTTCCACCAAAGCCCGCAGAACATCGTCATCAAGAGAGGAAGTCCTTCCACGACCTTTGTCTCCAAGGCTGAAGTCTCCTTCTCGAAATTATTTGAACAACCGTTGAACAGTGCATTCATTAAGGCTGCTCTCCCCACAGACTTGATTGCTGTTTCTGGCCATCTGGACCCCATTCCGGCTGAGTTTAATCTCATAAAATGAAATTATACGAAAATCATGCGTTGACATATTAGTAAAGACAGAATTATTTCTAAACAGCGAAAGGCTACAGAGGTAAACAAACATTATCGCTTGGAAGAGGATTAATAAGTGTTGACATTCATACAAATGAATAATCCAGTAAATGTATATCCAGTTTGTTATATCGAGTGGTATTTTAAAGTAAACTCAAAATCCTCCATTATTTTCTGGATATGCTGAGGATGGCTGAATGGTTTTTGAAGTGAGAACTTCTTTAGGCATGTTTTGCACAGTGAATTAGATTGAGCCGTCAGATCTTGGATGTGTAACACTCGGATAAAGTCGCCTAGAGGTGACTAATTGAAGTGTTTTTGGATATGCATTAAAATATCTCAAAAACTAAAAATTGGACCTATTACAACTAAGTATTGTAAGCGAGGGAAATGTTCATCCTCTTTGTAATGAGATATTATTTATAATTTATATTTCATATTATTAATCTAGCCTTGTTGATGTTTTCACTTGGTCTAAAACACACACTTTTTTTTTTTCTGATCCTCAATTTTGTTTTTCAACATTTATTCTTTTTATAAATTTTGTTTTTAGATTTTTTTAATTTAATTTATTTTATACTGAATGACCTATTAAAATAGCTTTCTATTTTAATAATATTTTTATTCATTATATATTTTTGTTTATTATTCATAAATCATTTTCTTTGTTCTAATAAACATGACATTTTTATAATCAAATTGAATTTTTTGGAACCTAGAAAATTAGATAATTTTTTTAATCTGAAAGAGGGAAATTTTACAAGCTAAAAGAAATGATAGCTATTCTATTTTTTTTATTTAAAAATAATTATAAATAAAAACCTGTAGCTGTATTCCAGTTTTCAATCCTCGAATAATAGCAAATGAAAAACACTAAGTCAACAAATGCTGGTATCAAGCTAGTGAGCTGGTCGGCCAACCAGAAGTCCGCAAAGTTGACGTAAAACATTGGTGAAAGGACGATCCGACACTAAAACAAATTTAAACAATCATTAAATATATATATATATATATACATATATATATTTATTTATTTTTCAGTAGGTAAAGTCAGAAGGAACGGATTAATTACAATTTCTTACGCAATGTAGAAATATCAACGACTAACCTGTTCCTGTTAATCAACTTTTCGGAAATTCATTTTTTTTTATTTATTTATTCCTACTTAATTTTTACTGTTTTCTAGATAGAAAGGCTGCTGCTGCCTCACTAAACATTTGGGAACACACAATACAAACATCTTAAATATAGTAAAACTGGAATGCAGCTATTTAACCAACAGTCATTGAATAACGATAGTAAAAGAGTAACTAATTAGATCCAAAGGTTAATAAAATACCCCCATAGCAGCACCCAATTATTGATCCCAGGAATATGATGTTCCAGATAGTATATTTTTATTATATATAACATATCAATTTCAAATCGTGACAAAGGAGCACATCAGGCTTTAGGTAAGTATAACATTTTATGTGACAACACAACATTAATATGTATTCTTTTTTAATTAACTCTTTTCTGGTCATAAATTGCTATGAAAGTATGAAAGTTTTGAAGATGGGAATAATTTTCTCGAAACATCAACTTGACATGTAAATCAACAAATAAACCAATTGTCTGTATACCTGGGAGTTTTCATTGCCTAAAATAAATAATATTAAACAGCCTCTTAGCAAAAAACAAAAAAAGAAGAAAAGAGGGATTAATTACCATTTCTTTAATAATGTAGAAATATCAACGACTAACCTGTTCCTGTTAACCAACTTTTCGGAAATTCATTTTTTTTTCTTTTATTTATTTATTTCTACCTAATTTTTACTGTTTTCTAGATAGGAAGAAGGTTACCGCTGCCTCATCTTTCTCCCTCTGAATACGTCAATGGATTAAACTCAATTTTCTATTACCAACATACTAATACAAACTAATTTGTAGATTAAAAGAAGATACACTATTTTAAAAAATACTACTAAATGCACGTGAATCTCTATATAGCTAACATTGTTCCTTGAAAAAAAAAATTATACATAAAAAGATTGTAATTATTCAACCTTAATATACTAAAAAAAAATTACAATTTTTTTAGATATTAAAGAAGCAATCAAAGGCAAATTTTTAAGGTACTGCGTTTCTACAGAGGTATCCTGTAACCGATGGAAAAGATTTAAATAGATGATAGTAGGGCTCAAGAGCTACAAATAATATCCTATAGACCATGGTCTGAGTAACACAGAAAAGTAGAAAGTTTAAGTTATATGTTTTTTTATATATAATTAACATTTTTTGGTGAATAGGAATCGATAAATAAAAATAACTTCCTTTAAATGCAAGTTTTAAATTTTGATTGTTGTAAGCTGGTCTATTTCCGACCATTGGTCATTCATTGAGTTTGTGAAGCTGAGTTAATTAAATATGTCTATTCTTAGGAACGACTTCCTTCTATGCAGATCATCAAATATTTAGTTTTGTCTTAATTTTCTTATGCTCTGCTTCGCTTATGAGGGACTTAGAGAGTCTCTCAATTTCTTCCAAGGACAATTATATCATCTGGTATCTAAGGATTTTATGATTCATTCCTTCATGCATCCTTTCATTTATCTCCAGCTCTGGGTTGAACAACCTCGGCCAGAGTACATTCTTCTGCTGTATATCAGTGTTAATTCATAAATCTTATCTTAAATGGCAAATGATCGACTGCTTTAATTAAGAAAGATCAATAATTACCATAGATTCTTCCAATGTTTCATCATGATTCAAAACTTGGCGATGATGCGAATTATTTAAATAATTAAGAATATTTATAAGCTAGAAATTTGTAATAAAAAGGAATGAATCACATTAATAATCATCATACAACAAAAATTAATTGCAAATAAGTTATTCAGAAAAAAAGTCAATTAACACACAACAAAGAGTATTAATTAAAACAATAGTTTATTTAATCAAATGAAATTTATACTTCAGAATCAACTATACCCTGAAATCAGGAATCCATTTTGAAACTTATAAGCGAGATTATTCTGGAAAAAGGCATAGATGTTGTTAGGAGTCAGAAAATTGTTGCCATGGAAGTGTGTTAGATCTACAACAATAGTATGTTAGATCTACAACACGCAAGTTCTCACAACAAGAAATTCTTGAGGACCTAACAAAACAGCATAAAAATAAAAAAGAATTCTTTTAAACCACACAAATACAAGTATAAAATTTGGTGAAAGAGAGAAATTAGTTTTCAGTAGCCTATTGAAAATCAAACTAAAAAATCATACTCTTTTAATAAATACCAGAACAATGCATCCCATATAATTAAACTCATGCCAAATATCAAATTGAATTTTTATGAAAATAAACACAAACACAATAATAATAATAATATAATTCCCAAGCAGGATCCAGTGGTGAAACTCAATGGTTTAAAAATTAAAATATTTATTAATTAATTCCTTTCTTATTAATCTTTCATATATAAACATAAAGTAGAAGAATAGCCCTAAGTATTCATAGGGCTGTACTGTACTTTTTGAAAATTAAGTAATGCCATATAATGACTTGACTGAAGTCTGGTGAGGTTTTTAATAATTCATAATACAACAAAATAAATAATTTAATTTTTAAATCCTGTTTCACAGCCGGGCCCTGTATATATTGGTAATAATTTCTAAAATATAACTGTGACATCAAATTGACATGACAGGATCATCTGAAATTGGCAGCATAATGATAAATTTATTTAAATTTAACCAACCAAACAACAATTAGGACATCAATTCAACTAGAAGTGATATTTTTAATAAATTTCCTATCTGTTACTATTAGTTAAAAATTAAATTTTAAATAAAACAAATTAATAATCAACTCAAAATGCATTCTTGAATCAACTTTTTGTTAGATTATATAAGTCTAAATTAATTTAATTAAAATCGCAATAACATAATAATACAGAATTTTTTTATTACTTACCAAAACACTTAAAACCCAAAATCTTGCTTCATGCCTCAAAGTTTTAGTCGGGTTAAGAAGAAAGGCAGCCATTACTATTAAAAGTGCTAAAGGATTGACAAATGCAGGAACTCCTAGAACGTCAGAATATATAAATGAAAGAACACTCAGAGCCCATATCACTCCGAATATGCATGACATTTCCATAATGTGCTGTTCGGAGAGATGATTTCTTGGATCAAGTTCGAAAATAAGTACATGGTTCACGCCTGACGACCTCCAGCCATAGACATTGATGCCCATCAGGAACATGAATTCGACAAGCAGAAGCGGGCATCGAAAAAGCCGTAAGGGTACTTTCCAATCACCCTTGGCAGGAAGGTAGGCGCAACCTGTCAAAATATCAAACTAAATTAATTATTCAAAGTATAAATATAAAGTACAAAGTATAAATATTTTGAGTTGGAACATATGAGATGTCATCCCCTCGGTATGAGCCAAAGTTATTTTGTTTTGTTTTTATTAAAAATAATTTCCTTTGCTTCAATACATTTCTCTCAATACTAAAAAGAATGTTTATACCTAATACTTTTCTTGAGAACATTGAATAAATAATTACAATAGAAATCCTGACATGTCCAGGCGCACTTAACTTAAAAATCAGGTGGTTGGCGCATTACACAATTTCCACCTTAAGTAGAAATAATTTCTTGTTTTAGGTATTTTCATGAAGTCACAGGAAAGTGAAAGTAAAAATTATAGACAGTATAACATAATAATTTAAAACAAGTAATTATCATATAAACAATTAAGGCAGGGAACAAAATATCAAAGGAAATATACTGTAATATTTTTTATTAATATAATAATAAACTCCTACAAGATCACTTTATACTGTAGTGATACTTCCAAAATAAATAAGAGGTTGTTAAATAATAAAGAAAATTATAAGAATATTGATATATTAAATTGAACTTTGTAATTATTTTATCTAAGGTACAGGTTACTGACAATCAGATCAAAAGATTCAGACAGACTAAAATTATTTACACTAAACACTGTTTGATTTTTAAATAAAGTCAAGAATGAATTGGCAAGCTAACCTTTTTCTATGTATACAGTTTTTTTCCTTTGTGGCACTGAATTCATTTGTCTTCAAACATTTTTCAAAGTTCTGTCAAACACACACCTTCCAAAATGTTGATACTTTCATCTATTCAACTCAAACTCCTTGAGACATCCTCTCTCTTGTAGTTCCAAACAACTAGTCTCTCGGCCATTCAACAACTGCTTCCCAAAACAAAAATCCTTTGTTCCTCCCCTCTTTGGGATTTTCTTTATTGGGAAAACTACAGAGCAGCCTTTTCCCAGAACTAATGAAACTAAACATCCTCTTACATTAGCAGAACTACATCAGTTTGTCTTTGAACACTGTTCAATATTATTTTACTAAACCATTTTTACAAACTTCCAATAAAGGTGTATATTACAATAGATTAAAATACATTTACCTATTATTTGAGAAGGAGATAGTCGAGGGTGCGGTCAAATAAATAAAAAAAATTAAAATATATAAATTATTTTAATTTTTGCCGACGTTTCGACCCACTTTGCAGGTCGTCTTCAGGGCGTAGGATGTGGCACTGCGGGAGGCAGTTGAAACACTGCCATATACCTATTATTAGTGACTTAATAATTTATGAATTTGATTTTTTTTTTCTTTTTCTTCTCTTCTCTTTTTCACCTTTTAGGCAACATGGGGTTTTTCCTGAGCCAGGGAAAAAGGCAGGGAAATAATGCCAGAGTTAAAAGTCCCTCCAGCACCAGGATTTGAACTCATATTCTTCAGTTGTAGGGCAACACAAATTTTATAAACGCATTAGCTCACTCAGTCCATGAATTAGGTACTAATGATCTATGACTCCAAGGCATATATATTTGGAATATAGATTTGTAAATTAACCTCTTTGTACTGGGCTGTATATTTGAGCTCCAGAAGACATTGTTGATCATCGCAGTGACTTTTCTTCCTTCTCCGATTCTCTGTTTGATATCACAGGTGGAGGTCCCTTCACTATTGAATACTGACCTCAGGTATTTGAACTTCTCCACTGTTTTGATAACTTTTCAATTGGTGTTTCATCTGATGAAGTGCCAAGGGGTTTTATTTTTTTTTTCAAATTAATATTTAGAACCCACTTTTCATATGATTCTATAACTTTTCTGAACATGCAATTGATGTTTTGTCTATCTTGAGCAAAAATTACTTGAATCATTATCATTAAATCTATTTTGAATAATATTAAAAACTAAATAAAAATCCAATTGAAAATAAAATGAACAACCGTGATAAAGCTATTATTACTGAAAACAATTTATTTAGAATTTTTCTTTATTTTTGCCAGACACTCTTAGGAGCTGACATTTCTTATGTTTTTAGCTAGTGCTACTTTAAAACCAATTTAAGCACCTGATAGTATAACAGCAATCAACAAAACGATGAAAGATCCAGAAAAAAGGCCGACCTTAAACGTCGTCCACGGGCTCTGCTTTTCACCTAAGGGAGGCACCCGCAGCCTCTTCATCGCTTTCTGCCTGTCGCCTCCTTCTAAGTCGTTAGTTACTGTGTTCTCTGTATCATGGATCAAACGATCAATATCTTTATTGGTATAAAAGTGGGATGTTGTTACGTTGTCATTGTGCCAACGTGTACCAAACTCGACGTGTAAAAGCTAAAACATAAAATAAATGTTATCAATAACTATAGCTCAAAAAATAACATGTCAACAAGAAGATTTTTGTAACATTGATGAAAATGCTCGTTTATAGTTTATAAGTAAGTAAGTCAAAACATGCTTGTACAAAACTATCTAGCACGTCCCATTTCCATATTAACAATATCAGTGGAGTATTTGGGATTAATTATAAGGAAGAATTCTCTGATGAATTATTTATAAGTTTTTTCATTCAAATACCAGATGCGGCAGTTAATAATTCTTAATTTTTCTAAGAGATGGCGCTAAAACAAGTATTGTTTCACAGGCTAACCTCTTGTGTTATCTTCTTGCTATGACAGTTCATTTCATAATGTAATTGATGTTTAAACACTTCTGCGTAAATATCATATTTTTTAAACTTGTGGTAAGCATATCAAGTTTTAAACCAAATAAAGAGTATTTGCGGCATTTCCTTATAATTCCTTATTTAGAGTATTTCCTTTCCTAGTGTAATCAAAAGAAAAACATGAGCGAATGCAGTCGTATTCTTGTAGAAACTTACACTGATAATCTTCTAACATTAGATGTTCGTATGCATTGGTATATACAATTCAAAAGAGGTGATTTTGACTTGAAAGGCAAAGAATACCCAGGTCAACCAAAAAATTTCAAAATGTTGAAGTGCAAGCATTGTTATATAAAGACAATATGTTAATCCAACAACAAATAGCAGAGAGATTAAATGCTGGTCGCTGAATTATTTTTACACCGTGCAAAAGATCCAAAGGGATATTAAAGCAGTTGAGCGACAGAAAAGTGAAAAATCCATAATGTCTTGATGATTGGACCACCTCAAAGACGTACTATTTTTCTGGGAGGGCATCCGAAAATTGTCAGACAGATAGGGTAAATGTGTAACTAGCGATGGCGCATACTTTGGATAAACCATTTCTTTTGCCAACCATTCCAATTTCAACTTTTTTCCTACAGAAAAACATATTAATTCTTTACTGCCACACCTGGTAATTCAAATTAATTTAAACTAACATATTTTTTATGACAGGTTTAAAGCATTTTGTTAACTAACTAGGTATGAAGCACTCCATAGAAGTGCCACCTCATCCCTTCTCCCTCCTTTCAAAATCAATGCTTCACAGCCCTCTGTGTATTTCAAATTCTGATTAACACTACGTCGTAAAAGAAATTGAGAGGAGGAAAGTTATTGTTGACCGATGTTAGTTTAGGCAAAGAACACATAACAATAAATATCAAGGACATGGACAATCAAATATCATGTCAAGCACAACTGAATTGCGGCTATGTAAGAAATTGACCAGACCAGTTCTGACGTGTGGCTCAGAGTCCTGCACAATATTACAGTCAAATGAACAAAGTTTACAGACTTTCAAAAGAAGAATTCTGTGGTACATATATGGATCTAAGAGAATCAGTCAAACAAACCTTAGTAGGTGTAATAAAAATATATATAACCTCCTCAGTGAATCGGATGTAGTGAAGCATATAAGGCTGGGAAAGTTGAGGTGGGCTAACCATGAAATCAAATATCACAAGATGAGATTACCAGAAAAATAATGAGTAAGGCCAATTATAGAACCAAACATACAGGATGACCGTGTCTTAGATGGGTAGACAGCTTACGAGGAAAACATCTCGAAGCCAGAGGTTGAAGGACTGTGCCCAATGGCAAACAGACAGGCAGAAGTTATAAGAAGAGATCAAGGACCAGTAATGTGTTTGTCCAACGGAAGTAGAAAGATTAATGCTATAAATAGTAATTCTGTACGACTCTGTTACCAAAATATACATTTCTGGAATATAATTGCAGAGTTTGTAAATCAATTTAAAAGTAGGTTAACGTTTGTGATTAATGAAAAACTAATTATTATATACTTTAAATACAATAATTAGTTTGAAATAATTATTGTGTAACATTACATCATTATTCCAAATCAATAGGAACAGGAGAAAATTTTTTTTAAATTAATTATTTTAGCTGCGAATATGCGGATATTGTGTGGTTTCATGTTTGATAATATTACTTTCATATTGTTAAATGAAGGAATAAAGTACTATATTATCATTAATTAATAATTAATATGTGATTACACGAACCATAATACTTTAAGAGATAACTTTTTTTCCATAAAACATTGTATCATTTAATCATTTTGGGGGAGGCTTCAGCCCAAAAGACACCCCTGCAGATATGTATGTACCCGATTATATATACCCATGTGAATAGCAAAACATTTTTGGATTTAGGATAATAAAATATTTTTATTTTCATCAATATTACTTTAAAAGAATTAAAATTTTTTGACCTAGACAATCAATTTATAAATTTTATTCTTATAAAACATCACCTTGTCATGTTTCTTCATAATTTTCCTAAAGCCTGTGAAGTTGAGATTTTGATAATTTTGGAGTAAAATTAAGCTCAGATAAAATTCACTAAATGCCAATTTGAGTTCCTGGAGTTTTCTAGCAGGAACGTCACTTTTCTGGAGAAGTTTTGGTGGATTTCTGAAAAATCCTCTTCTTCCTTTGTATTCATTCTCTAAAGCTTCGCTCAATTCACTCTTCAAGTTACCATATTTTCTGGTAGCTTCAGCTAATTTTTCTAAAGTAACAAAAAAAAAAAAGATCAGAACCTAAACACATAAGATATATTAAACTTAATTGGCAATATTACCTGAGTAAAAAGTGTTTATTTTTTTAAGTTCTTTATCGCAATAATGAAAAAATTTTTCATCAAACTTGGCCTTATATCTCTTGAGGACTTCTGGTTCGACAACTTCAGCAGAGGGAGACTGTTCTGAAGCAGCGTATAGCATTGCTTTCATTTCCTGACATAATTAAATACAACTTTAATTATATTTATTCAATAGAGAAATGTACTTGAATAGTAATACATCAAAAAATGAAAAAAGTATAAGTAACTCTTGTAAGTAAAGTTTGTAAGATTAATAGTAATAAATATGTTATCAGTACAACATGGAAAAAATTAAGTACATACTCAAATAAACTAAATTATGCGTCACGTTGCAACTTGTATGTTTAAGCTCAAAGCATATATATTATTTGAGGAGTTTGTTGGGGCGTGGGGTCAAATAAATACTAAATTTTTAAAATAGTATTTTAAAGTATTAAAATAGTAGTATTAGACTGGCCAGTCAGTCTATCAACTGCTACTTGCAGTGCCACGCCACCACTGCAAAGTGATGAAGACCTACAAAGTGAGTCAAAAGGTCAGCGTAATGATTAAAATACTATTTTAAAAATTTAGTATTTATTTGACCCCACCTCCCTACCAACTCTTTCTCATATTATATCACGGTCAACTATCTCTACACCATTACATATACATTACTGTTGGTGATGTATATATTGTAAGTAGCATGTAAATAAATGATGGAGGGTTAGACAAAAAAAAGTATGTTTAAGGATGCAGTCAATTTTGAAGATTGGTAGTGGTTGATCAGAACGTGAACACCTTCAGGCTGCTCATGCCCTGATAAAGAGCCACAAGCTTGGGCTGAAACGTTGGCAATAAAATATTGTAAAAGTGTATCAATAATTAGTTCTTTAATTGTAGAGCCGCCAAAACCAAGCCGCTAAAAATAATATTTTTCTGATGATGGGAACATTTTCTGAAACATCTAACAAATGAAATAAATGATCAATTAAAAGAAAGTTATAATTGTAAATGTCACCTGTAAAAAAAAAATAACAATAAAAATTGGTGAAAATCTGCTTTTTAATTAAAATAAGTCAAGAAATTTGAAATTTCTCCTATGAACTAATCCTCGCATCCCTGATTCTTTAACTTTCAATAAATGCCAAGGGAGAGAAAATAAGAAGAAAGAGAATTACAATAAGAATTTGAATGACCATCAGGCAAAAAATAAAAATCTGGTGCGGTGCACGCATCACACAACTTTCACTTACCACCCTGTTAGCAGAAATAAGTATTTTCAGAGAAAGGGGAAGTGAAAGTAAAAATTATAAACGCTACATTGATTTATATTTCATAGTGGATATTTTAATTTATGTTTAAGTACCCTCATATATACAAATTTTAATATTTATATCGCTGTAATCTATACAATTAAATATTAAATAATACCAATGAAAACATTTAGGAAAACCGCATATGTATATGTACATAATATTATAGGAGACCATATTATATTAAGCTCATAGTACTATGGAAATCTGTTCTAATCTTCGGGCCTGCTCTCGTATTCTTTTGATTCCTTCATTACAACTATTGTCTGGTACGATCTCTTATTTCTTCTTTAGTTAATTAAAAAATTCTTTCAAATTTTATATTTAACTATTTTTTATATAAAGATCAATGTGAAATCGTTAATTATTTCAAATAAAAAAAAATTTAGAGGAAGCCAATATTGAAAATTAGTTATTTAAGCCCTGTTAGAGAACATCAATGAGAATAAAACTTACATAATATTACAAAATGCTTAATTTTACACTGATATAATAAATTTAATCAAAATCGTTGGAGCCGTTTTTGAGAAAACAGTAAAAATGTGTTTCATCGATGATATGAAGTGCCACTTCCGGTGAGCCGATTTTGATGAAAAAATTGCTGTAATACCTCAGGTATACACAAACCTTAAATATACAATTTCACTTTCATACGACTTTTTGTTTTTGAGCTAGACCTGTCACATACACACACATTCCTGAGGAGAGCAAAGGTTTGAAAAAGATCAGGGAAAAGAGGTTGAACCCATGGGGCAATGATTTAGTGTAGTGTACTGTAAGATTTTTGCAAAAAATGATCCTGCAGGATTGAAACCTCAGGATATCTTAAGAGAATATCCATTTTTCATGAACTTGGGAATGTTTGTAGGCAGAAAACAAGTTTGATTATATTTACCTTTCAAAGAATTATTCACAGAAAATATAATAGATACATTTATCAAAAATAACAAAAAGGATGTAAACGAATAGGGCAAATTTAACACAATATTTATTTTTACAATTGTCTAAAATTTATGTTCTATTGTTGAAAATGGATAAAATATTATCCCAATTTTGCATTAATAGGATAAAATACAACTATATAACCAAATTAAGGTATTTAAAACGTTAATATTGAAGAGCAGCGAAAAATAAAGTTAAAATTATAACGATAAGAAACATAGATAAGATATTTTTTTTCAAATTTTAATTGATATTTAATGAAAATATCTCAGGTCATTTAATAATCGAGTTGTATTTTTATACAAAAGCCCAGTAGTGAATATATCCAAAATCAAAATTTGTAAAATAAATCAGGAATTCTTAGATGATAACAAATGTCACTTTTAATTTTCTATTGTCTCCATAGAAATCATTTTTGATCTGGGCAAAGTTGACCAATGTGTAATTGTTTGATTTCATTCAGATCTTTTAAACAATGTTTTTATATGACATAAAATGATAAAATAAAAAAAACTCTAGAAAACTAAATGTGAGTATACAAATTATTCACATATCCAATAAGAAGGTAACTGTTCTCTAAGTATATTAGTTAAATAACTTTAAATAAAAATAATATAATCATAAAATCCAATGTCATTAAGAATTCCAATACTAAAGAGCAATAAATACCTCATAATTAATATATTGCTTTCTCCACTCAGGAGTAATATGAGCAGCTAAATGTTCCGCGAACTTCATATTTTTGAAACACTCTCATAAAAAATAAAACGAAACAAATCTAATATTAAACTTGAAAAATTTAAACAAGTCACGTAATTTTAGTTAAAATCAACTCTAAAAAATAAACATCACAACAAAAGTAACCAGCTCAGTAACCTCCCCGCCCTCCGACGACCGGGTTAACAGGCTGTTTGTGAAAAAAAAATTGAACATTGCCTTTGATAATTTTGCAGTGAGGTTACTTTTGCTAATATTACGCCAATTTAAAGTAAATGAAATTTTAATCTGTGAAATATACGCGTTAATTAAAGCGATGTGTTTTAAAGATATCGCGGAAGCTCTGTATTAGACCAGCGATACCATCTGTGGGAGTGTTATTGTTTATAAGATTCGCGTTATGGTTATTCGTTGGAGCCGCTCAGCGACTTGACAGGTATAAGAGCCCGTTAATGCCAATATTAAGAAGAGATGCATAAGGTGATGGCAGGAAGAAGCGCCGACCCCTCAGATAACCTTAAAATGAAACCACCCAAAGGAATACTCAAGTCTTCATCTAGTTTTGAAGCACCTGATGCTCCTGGAGGGTAGTTATCCAACTTAAAATCATTAGATTACCTATTAATTCATAACTATAGTGTAATTTACAATCTTTTCCATTTCATGGATCATCTTCGACTCATTCAGTGTTGTTTCCCCATTTTCAGGTCAAGGAAAAATCAGAAGAATTCTAAAGAGACAACATTTGATGAAATGAACATTCTTGAGACTTTACATCCTCCTGGCAAGGATTATGGGCATATGAAAATTGATGAGCCTAAAACGCCTTATGAAAGGGATGTCCCAGATGCAGTCGGTGTGGATCCTGATGATCTTGCAAAGAGGTATTATCGCCATTATTAATTTTTAGCTATAACGTTTGATGTTATTTTCTCCGAAAGTGACAGATTAATACTTTATTCGTAACTCAAATTATTTGTTTGTTATACAATTAAAATATATTTTGAAATAACTATTTTTTAATGATATATTTGTAAATATTTTGTAGTTATTAAACAGTGCAAGTAATATAAATATATTTCAGAATACTAATCTTTTCCAAGTAAATTATATTTAATTTTGTTTATATTATTGTAATATATGAATAAAATCAAATTTCTATTATTGTTTAGTTATTTATTATATCTGACTATAGATGAGGAATTTCAATAAATGTCACTCAAAAAAGCCTCTAAGGAATTTGGCATTTGATCAAAATAACAGAATAAGAATTTTAAAAATAGTTTTAGAAATTATGAATATTTTATCTTATTTTTCTAGGACTTAGAGAATACCTAATTTAATTAATTTTATAATACGTGTATATTCTTTGTATAAATTGTTAGAATGCGGGAGGAATCTGAAAAACCTAGGAGAGAGTTACCATCGATGGAAGAAGATTCGGCCGGAGAAGAAGATCTCACTCCAGAAGAGAGGGGTATGTATTTATTATATTGTAACTAATTTTTTTTTTTTAAGATTCTGTATTTTATAAGAAATAAGTCATATTTCGGCAATACTTGACATTTTCACTTACTTTTATTTATTAATAGCCATACTGAAGTATATAAATAAAGAATTAAAAAAAAAAAAAAGCCATCAGTTCCATTTTGCTTCTATAAGATAGGAGCCATTTTCATGATCACCAACACCACACAATTCCCAATTACAATTAATAACTTCTTCTAAAATCATGATCTTATACAACTCGTTTGCCTCCCGCACAGAATGCTTAAATATGTAATTAAAATCCCTCCTCCTGCTGATAAATACAGGTATAGAAAAAATATTTAACTAAAATAAGCCTACAGATATTAAATTAAAATCTCTAATACTAATAAATACGTCGAAAATATGAATAATAATACACATATAGAAAAAATAATATGATTCAGAGAAATTAGTTTAAAGTATTTTAAAAGTTTACATTTAGTTTAGTAGATTTCATTTAATTTCCTAGCAAACATGTGATTTCCATTAAATAATATTAGTTTTCAAAAATTATTATTTATAATTTTTTTGTCACTCTCTGTTATTATCAAATTCTTTCAGAAATTATATTTAGCATTTTTTTCATAACTCTTAATAATGTGAAATAGTTAATTATTTGAAGTGAACCATATTAAAGGTACTTTAGAGGAAGATGTATATGAATATTGGGCAGTTAAGCCCTGTAAAGTGACATTAATGAGGATCGGATCTGATTGATATTAAAGACCACTTAATTATTCAATGATATGCCTAGCTTAATCAAAATCGTTGAGGCCTTTTTGAGAAAATTTAAAAAATGTGTTTCACCATTGATAAAAAGTGGCACTTCCGCTTAGCCGATTTTAAAGAAAAAGTTTCTGTCACATCTAAAGTATATACCTATCTTAAATACGTAATATCAGTATTGTACGACTTTTCATTTTTGAGCTAGACTGTTAACATACACACAGACTGTTTTGCGGGACTTGGGGTTATTTGGAGTCACCGTAACTCAAAACGTGTATTTCCGTTGAAAACTCAGATTCAAAAATTTTCACGATCGTAATACTTCCCCTTACTATATTGTAACATCCCTCTTATATGTTACAAATAATAATATTATAACCTCGGAAGCTCACTTCTTACCATTGGGATACTTCCTAAATGAATAAGAGGTTATTAAATAATAAACAAAATTATAAGAGTATCAATATATTTATTTATCTCAGATATTGGTTACTGACAATCAGATCAACTCAGGCAAACTATTATTATTAACATATCTATACTAAAATTAAACACTGATTTTAAAATAAAGTCAAATATGAATTGGCAAGCTAACCTTTTTTCTATATATACTGTTTCTTCCTTTCTTGCACTAAATTAATTTGTCTTCAAATGCTTTCCGATGTTCTGCCAAACACAACTTCCAAAATGGTAATACTATTACTGGGTTTTACCCACTGGTGCCCGGTCCCTTCTCCTATCCTCTCTTCACTGCAGCCACACAACAACTGCTTGCCAAAACAAAAACCTTTCTCCCATCCCCTCTTTGGAATTTTCCTTCTTGGGAAACTAAAGATCAGCCATTTTCTTTTCCCTGCACTAGTGGAACTAGATTAGCTTGCCTTTTAATTGTTCAACATTAATTTATTAAAACTTTTTTACTCACTTCCAATAAAGGTGTACATTACAATATATTACATATATAGGTAAGTGAAAGTAAAAATAGTTGAGAAAATATAACATTTTTAATTTACTATTGTTGTACAAAAATTGGTATACTAATTGTTTGATTAAAAAAAAAATTGTTTAGAATCATAACATTTTCAATTTAATTTTACCATATAAAACACAATATTAAACTTTGTATACAACTATTATTCAATTTAAACATGTTTAACGATGTGCTTTTTTTAAAAATTAAATATCATACTTGAAATCGGTTAAAAAAATACAGAAATTATTAATTTTTGGTATGAATACAATAATTGTTTTAATTAAAAACATTCACTTAATAAAGCTTGCACCCAAAGACTCACGAGAAACGAGCAATTCAATGAATGCTCAAGATTAGTGGGTTATATAAGGGCCCCAAACTGAGGCACAAGCACCTCCCATCTTTTTCAAAGTTTCCGTGATTACTTAGTAAAATTTTAAAAAATACGAAATTTAGTTAATCGCTCATACACGAGATTACTATATTTTGCATTTTTTTTTTTCTCTTATAAAGGCATTTCACCGCTGAAGTGTCATTTCAAGAAGATATTTCTGAAGGAAGCTATTCGACTGTTTTCCATATCATGGTTGATAAATATTCAGGACGCAGTCATTATAAAAATTTTTATTCGTGCCAACGTTTCAACCCAAACATGTAGGTCATCTTCAGGACTGAAAATTTTAAAATATAATCAGAGATATACGACCAATAATGGTAAATAATAAACTATAGTGATTGATGGTACATGAATCTTAACTATTATTATAAATACACAATATTAAAAATGAAATAAGTAAAAAGTTATACAAACTAAAAATAATATATATAATCTATTTATAAAATTTGAATAAGGACAACTGGGAAATCCTCCCCCGACCTTTTCACTTACCTACCAAATGTGTCAGTACTTGAAAGTCTTCAGTGCTCGAACCACGGTTAGTAAGAGAAAATATTATAAATTTTATAAATAGATTATGTACATTATTTTTAGTTTGTATAACTTTTTACATATATCATTTTTAATATTGTGTATTGTAATAATAGTTAAAATTGAGGTACCATCAATCACTATGGTTTATTATTTACCATTATCGGTCGTATAATAACATTATATCTTTGATTGTATTTAAAATTTTCAGCCCTGATGATGACCCACATGTTTGGGTTGAAACGTTGGCACAAATAAAAAACGCTGCAAATTATTTCACAATGGTTTATTATTTCCAAACAATTATACATCTAAAGTAACATTACCTTCCTAGTGACAAAGAAAAATATATAAAAGGTGATTCCAATTATGGGGCTAAACTTTTTTTTTTAATCATTAGTAATATGCTAAAAAAAAATAGCATTACTTGAGTAACACATTCAAAATTTAAAAACCAAACAAAGAATATAACATTTCGGGTAGAACATATTAAAAAAACCGGAGGCCATATCTTTGCTCCTCATTGTCCGATTTTAACGAATTTTTTTTTTTTTTTTTTTATGAAAGTTCATATGAAAAAAGTGTAAACTTTTTGAGTTATTTGGAATATAATTTTACCATCCCTCGTAACTTTTTTCCAGCTTCTTTTCGTTGAAGTATGTTATATAGATAAATTTAAAGGGTGTCGAGAAAATGACTTTAGCGAAGTTTCATTTAAATCGGTACATTGTTTAGTCTATAGCAATTCAATTTTTTCAGCCGCCATTTTGAAAGTAAAAGGCGGATAGTAATGTCGATGAAGGAGGATCATCCTCGAGTGACCTCTGATTTTATATTCGAATTCTACGCATCCTGAAACGTGAAACCTCAAATTTTGAGAGGGGGTTAAGTTTTTGAATTTTTTGGTCGATCACAATGGTTGATAATTGAAAATAATAAACCAAAGTGTTTATAATGACTGTGTCCTGAATATTTATCTCCCAAGAAGATATTATTTTTTAATCACAAGCCATGTCCCGCGGGACTTACAATTAGATCTGAATAGGGCTCCCGGGACGTAGCGGGGGTCCGTGGGCCAACAGAGGTCGTGATGGCCAAGAATGTTGGAGTGTTGTAGCACTCTCAAGTCTCGCGACGGCAGTTGGAATCTGACCTGGGAAGAGTTGATTTTTATTTTGTGACGGACCCACGGAATGAAAATCGACCTTCCCACTCTGGTTAGAATAAGTTTGTTTGTACCTCTAGAACAACCCCTCCCCTCCGTATGTCAGAAATGGTGGCTAGGGGGTATTACAAAAAACAAAACTCCATTAAATACTGACATTAATACTGATTTTTTACAAAATAATACTATCAATAAAACATAAAACAATAGTCCATGGTACAAACCTTTTTCATAAAATTATTAACACTCGTTTAAAACTTCATGTATGAGTTCTTTTATCTTTACCTTCCACTTCTTTATTTACTGAAATTATCGGAAATGGGGGTTTACGAAAATATTTGGCAATCTCGCCTATTTTTGTATTATATTGATATGTCAGGGTGGAGGTCAATATTTTTGAAGTCTGCTGTTTTTTCAATTTTTTGATAAAATTATCTTCTGGTGCAAATGGCTGTTCATGAGTTCTTAGTACCTGTTAACTGAAACGAAAATAATTGGTTATGGATCAAACCAGTTGGTTATTCCCAAGGTCAATAAAACTACCAGGTTCGCTCACTCAGAAACGCGTGGTGGGAGAACTTGAAACGTGGCATAAGGAATAGACTGTCAGACCTACCTATTACTTTTTCAAGCCTATCAATGAAGGCTTATTTCAACATTATTGTGCTTTTTTTTTTTTTTTCTTGTTTAATTTATTGAGAAGAATTCTTTTCTGTGTTTTTGATGTTTGATTGAAGATAATTTCAAGCAGATAAATAAATAAATACGGCTATCAATCTAGAATAAAATGCTATGAAAATTACAGGCCAGACCTCAAACGAAAAGAACGAATTTGATATTAAGATTATTTTTAAATTGTTTATTTCAAAATCTCTATAAATAATATACAAATATATTACATAAATAGAAAAAAATAAGATTTATATTTATTTAGAGAACATTTTAGCTCAATGTTTGTGTAATTTTGTTTGTAGATCTAGTGGGTATTTCTTTCAATATTATAATAATATTATAAGGGTGAAGATCTTTGTCAGGATTTGCAGTCAAACTTTCTTTAAATAAACAAATTTCATTAAAAAAAATAAACAAATTTTAATGTAAATTCTGATAATTTATTTTCACCTTATAATCTTAACAGCCAACTACTTATCCGTCTCTAAAATAATATTACAACGAGTATTTATTTTTTATTTTTAATAACATGTTATAGAGAATTCGTTTGTTCTTATTAGTATTTCTTGTATTTCTCATAATAATATAATTATTAATAGAATCCTATAGAATGCCAGGTACAGAATGCGCAGTTGCATCTTGCAATAAAAATCTAATTGACACAAAGAAGATGGGAAAAAAAAAGTTCATTTCATACTTTTCCAAAGGACGCTCGAAGAAAAGATTGGATTTTAAAATGTAATTGTAAAAATATTGTGAAAAAAAAACAACTATTGTAAAAAACAAAACAAATATTGAAAAAAAAATTTACCATCTTTTTCTTATTAAACAAAATGTAGAAATTAATGAAGAAAGCCTTTCTTTCAGCAACGAGTATTTAATAGAATCAAATTTTTAAATACCCTATGATTTTTACAACAATTAAGCAAACATAAAATCAAAGGCAAAAAACTTGAGAAAAATCACTAAATAGGATTACTTATAACATAAAAATGTAATATTTACAAAAATTCACGAAAAAAAAACGCTTCTTTAATTTAAGATCAAATACTTTTTCTGTTTGTTTTTTTTTTCAATATTTCTATTATTTTATATTACGCTCTGTATTTATTGGAAATATTTAAAAAGTAGTATTGTGATACTTTGCAAAAAATCATTAAATTACATTTCATTTGCTTCAGAACAAACCAAATATCAAATCAACCTTTCTCTCACCTTTCAAATTTATTAAAATTAATAAGTTATTTGGCAATACAGTATTGATTTAATGTAGAAAAATAAATAATAATCTTAAAATGTCCAGAAACAAAGGCCGGAGGGGTAAAAGCAGTCTTTTGGCTATGTTAGAGCTCAATTCCCAATAAATTAAACAAGAAAAAAGCACAATAATGTTGAAATAAGCCTTCATTGCTAGGCTTGAAAGAGTAATAGATAGGTCTGACAGTCTATTCCTTACGTCACATTTCAAGTTCCCCCACTAGGCATTTCTGAGTGAGCGAACCTGGTAGTTTTACTGACCTTGGGTTATTGCCATCCCTAGATAGGGTGTGGTAAGGAACTTGTTATGGAACGTAAAAGGTCCTGCGTTTAAAAAAGCTCTGAAATTTACTATTTTTTATTCATTACATAAGCCCACGTTAACTCAATGCTAAAATAATCTAAGACTGTGGTCTCCAAACTACCTCATCCGGCAAAAGATTCTTTGTTACAGGCTAAAATTATGAAAATTAGCAATTCCTCATACAAGAGGTTATTATAACATTTATTGTATGTTTTTTTTTTTTTCTCTTTGAAAGCTCATTTCTCAACTGAAGTGTCATTATAGAGTTATTTAGATTCCAAATTATTCAGAAAATCCTGGTCTAGGATATAAACCTGTTTATTTAGTTTAAATAGACATAAATTTATGAATTGAGGTTTTAGTATTAGATTATTAAGTTATTGTGACCCGTGTGATTTAGCCCATACGAATTTATTTTACTTTAAAAATAGGTTTCTTCTCTTGAAAATAGACTAAGAGCTTAAATGTTGGATGTAGAGAAAAATTAAGTAGCATTATTTTGAGATAATGGTTACTTTTCATCCTAATAAGAAACTTGAATTAATTTTTATTTGTATTTTAGAGAAAAAGAGGCAGTTTGAAATGAAAAGGAAAGCACACTATAATGAATATCTTATGGCCAAGAAGAAGTTGCAGGAACTGAAGGATGAAGATGACGATGATGATGATTAAAGTAGATATTGTTTTTATATTGAATAAATATTCGAAACTGGAAATAATTTATTACTAATGTGATATCTCAGTGCAAAAGATAATAACTCCTGTTGTTATTATTATTATTTGTTATAATTACCAATAATTGATATAACATTGTACGATATGTTGCAATAACTGCTAGAAGAATGGTCTTCCGTTGTTACCTTCCTGCAAATCGCTATTTTTAGATCAAAATTTTGTTTTGGAAACGTTACATTTTTTTTTTTAATTTTGTAAATGACTGAATTTTTGGCTAGTCATTCTTGGTACAAATGTGAAATTATAATGATATACATTCTAAAAGAGGCTTAGTGAAATCTGTAAAATTATTTGATCTGTTTTAACTTAGTTTTTTTTTTTTTTTTTTGTTATATATAAAAAAGTTTCTTGTTGTTCAACATATATATGTCTTAGAAGTGTTTGATTATTGTTAACATTAAAAAAAATCAAGTTTTTTATTATTTTTTTTTTTATAATTATAAAGAAATTCAATAAAAAAAAAAAAAAAAGACATCCTCGTTACTTCTCTAAATAAGATGACTCCCTACGTAAGGCTGAACAAAGTGATCGTATTCTCTCAGTTTTATTTTAAAAACTCTGAGGCAATCATTACTGTTAACACTCTCATGTTAATTTTGCCAATAACTATCCTTCGGCGCTCATATCTTGTGACCTTTGTTAACAATAATTTCAATTTCTGATGAAAAAATAAATCATAAATTTGAGATAATTATCTTTATTTCATGAGAAATGACTTTAAAATATCAGAGATAGTTTTTATCTCACATTAATAAATCAAGTTAAACTTATATATCTGAAGTTATATACAAATTATATTGAGTAATTTTAATATACCATCGTATATTGAAGTAGCTTTAAAATATCTCTCAGCTTGCCAGTGTTGTAGATATTTTTAATTTCTCTATAAAAAGCAGATTTTAATATAGTAAAAAAAAGAAATCATAAAATAAGTAGAAAAACTTGTCATTTTTAGCAAAAAAAGGTTTAAATATGGATGATGTTTCTAATATACAATTAATTTTTATGTAATGTTAATTTATGAGAAGTTAGAGTGATAAGTGGTTTATTTACATCATTTATATACATAGTATGTACTTAAATTTTATCTACATATCGTCAGAACCATGTTAAAGTAAGAAACGTTAGGCAGGTTAACAGTCATTACTTAAATATGGTGCCAACGATATATCATAAAAAATATTCACTTTTTGCTTTACACCACTATTATTCTAACATCCGCCATAATTTAATCGAAAGGATAATTCTAATTGAAAAAATAATTTTTTTCCAAAGTTGATTGGGAGGTTACTGTTGTCAACTAAGTACACAAAAAATATTCTGTTTATGCTGAATTGTCAGCCTAATCTTTAGGTTTAGGCTTAAAGCAAAGACTAGAGGGCTAAGCAAAGACAAGACAACAACGTTATGATAATCAAAAAGAGAAAGAAAACTTATAAAAAGATAAAAATGATATTAAAAATAGTATATCTATTAATAAATAAATTCAAATAAGTGAACACTATATTCATTGTGTAAGATAAATTAAAATATTTAAGTATTGTATATAATAACAAGGTATAAGAATATATGTGGAATGTTATAATCTGTAATACATTTAAAAATAATTGTAATATAAAAGCATATTTGACCGTATGATAATAATGCATGGAAATATTACATAAATTAAACTAGTATATGTAAAAATAATTAGGTTTCTATATTTAAGTAGTTAAATGTAGTATTAATAAATAATAAATTTAAAATTGATGGTATAATTATTATACTTAATCAATACATGATTAAGTTTATTTTTAAAAAAAAAACCTTTTAAGCCCATACTTTTTTTTTTTTTTTAGTATAAAAGATCTTTTTAACAAGAATTTTTATTTAAAAAAACAAAATAACAGTCATGAAATCATCATTTAAAAATATATATATATATAATATACTTCTCCAGGTAGTATTGTTTTATTAAAAATATAAAAAAAATTGTGTTTTTTATTCTTTCCAATATCCACAAGTAGTCTTTTTTTTTTTCCTCATGTTATCAAAAAATACACTTTATTTTATGAATATAGTTGTTTTATTTATGATGTAAAAATATGTGGGATTAAAAAAGGTTTTTTTTTTTGTTTTTTTATAAACTTAATCATATATTGAATCAATATAATTACATAAAAATACCACAAACAATGAATTACCAAAATAAGGTTATTTTTTATCAAATGTATATATATATATATATATATATATATAAATATAAATTGAAGTATATATTAATTTATCTTACATGACATAATTTTTACATTTATTGGTCGATAACGTACTATTTGTCATACCATTTGTATTTCTTTTTATAAGTTAAGCTCTTTTTTACTTCGCTTTTGCAAATCACTTTTCAATAAAATATATGTTTTCTTTGTCACTGTTTACATACTTATTAATAACTATCATTATTTTCAAATAAAGAAATAAATAGGTTTTCAATCTCACTCTCACATATCTTCCGTAAGATATTCTGCCAATCCGTAACAGTCCTAGAGCTTATACTTAATTCTCTTCTACAGAACGTTTTGCAATAGTTTGCTCATTCTCCCATTAATAAATGAACAATAAACTTTTTATTAGTGATAAATGAGTTTTGAAACCGTATTCCTGATAATATAATAGTATTTACATTTCATTCCATCTTGTGGCATCTCTAACAGGGGCTGATTACTTGTCATTAATACAACTTCATTATGTGCTATCTCGAACATTTTTTTGTCTTATGCACTATCTCTGCTTCTTGGAATAATTGAAGCACATTTTCTTCTCTCTGGAGTGTAGCAGATAATTGTGAAAGATTCATTTTTTTAAATTTAATTTAATTTTTTTTTAATATCTAGTATGCCAGAATGCAGACAATAAATAATCCAATTAGTAGCAGTTTAAAACAAAATCATATGTTTTTATTGAATAGTGATTTGCGATAGTGAAGTAAAAAACACTCAATAAGTTTTCTTTCTCTTTCTTATTCTGATGCTGTTGTTTTATTTTCTTTGGTTACCCTCGATGTGGCCTAATACTTACGCTTAAACAAGGAAAATAAACTTTTTTTTTCTGTACTTTACCAACTACAACCTTCAACTATTACTAAAAGTTTATACAGTTAGCCATTTCACCGCCATCGTAATAATTAATGATATGTTTAGATTAAAAAAGGAAAAGAAAAATTTTTCATAATCATAAGTTTAATCTCCGAAATTTTTTTTTTAATTTATGATAATGAATTTTAGAACATTAAACAGCTTGGAGCATATAAAGTTAAATATACAACTAATAAACAAAAATTATTATTACAAAATTTTTTGAAAATCAAAAGAGTTTTGCTCAAATGCAAAACTTTAATGAAACTAAACATTTTATTGAAAGAGTTTTCAAGAAATTATTTGTTTCTATAAATTTTTGTAATGATTGTCTTTATAATACAGAGTTTTTTTTCTCAGACATTTTCATTAAAACGAATATAAAAATAAGTTTTTTGATAATTAATTCATAAAAACTATTACATTGTTTTGTAATCTTGACAATCTTTGTGCATGTTCGAGGGTTCCTCCATTTTTTTTTCTCAAGAGTATACCTTTATTTAAAAAAATAAATAAAATTTAATTTATATAATTTCAGATTTTTAAGTGGTAATTGTTTCATGAATAGTATATTTTCATAGCAAAATAAAATGATAATAGCTTTTGTACATTGTTATTTTATTTATTTTACATAATTTTTTTTTCAATATACTCTAAGCCTGTGATAGCCAAAACACCATGCTATTCTATACATTAAGTGATGAATATAGTCCCAAAATATTCAGTCACGAGTCCAATGCAATTTATAGTCCATTTAATGATTAGTAACAACCAGTTTCCGATTCGATACTTATATTTTGCTAAGTATCTAGGAAAAGGCTGTCGCTGTCATATATTATTATAGCTAGTTCTCTTATGTGATAACAATTGCTGCCCGATCATGTAACACTATAAGAAACATCTATCTTTATATATTTATATTTTATTGGAAATTTGTATTAAATGAAGAATATTAGACCTCTTGTTAAGTATTACCTTGCTTGATTTTTCCTTCCTAACTGTACGTTGATGTTTATTAATGTGAAATTAATAAACAAAAAAAATGAAGCCTAAATAAATGTATGTATATGCTTTAGATATTGGTGATTTTTTTTTTAAATTGATATTAATTTAAAATTAAGGCGTAAATATGCATAAAAAGATCTCGATCACAAGCTTTGTATTTTAATCTGACTAATTTTTAATATTTGATCTGACTGTTAATTGCCAGATGTATCTGCCAATTAATTTTTTCATAAAATATATTAAATTTAAATTCAGTTGCTGTGTGTTGAGTCTTTTCTGCGTAACTACCTTCATTGCTATGATTACTCGGTTTATTCATAATGAACAGTAACTTATTATCAGAATATTGCCATTATATTCCTAGAATATGAAGCATTATCGGCTGGCTAACTTGTCAAATTTTATTTAATATTAAGATACATTGATTTTATTTTTATTATGTTGTAATTATATATTTTTTAATTAATCTAATAAAATTATAAAAGGGTACAGACCCTTTTCCTTCAAAACATTGTTGTTTTATTATTCAACCATTTTAAAATTTAAAACAGTTTTTTATTAAATAAACAGTGGATTCCTCATTATCTGAACTTGCTTGTATATTTGTTGGAGTCAAAGAGAACTGAACTCACGATAATACCACAGTGATACAAAGCAATATGAAGTATATTTTTGAAAATTAAAATAAAATTTTAAATTAGACATTTGCTGAACTACGTTGGTTTAAAAAAATCTTTTTAATTGTTAGGATATAAATATTGAGATTCAAAATATTAATAGTTTTCAAATATACCAAAATAGTAATTTGATGTAACGAAATAA